CTCTCTCTCTCTCTCTCTCTCTCTCTCTCTCTCTCTCTCTCTCTCTCTCTCTCTCTCTCATATTTTGTCATTACACTTCGCTATACGTAGGACACGTCTCGATTCTACGATTCCTCTTATGTAAATAAGGATCATAATAATTATCCCCAATAGGGAAAAAGAAAAGAAAGGAAAATGACGATATATATCGAAATTTCCAGGTGAACAACAGCATCTTGATGTGGTCTTACTGCGACGTATCCCACCAGGACATCAATAACATACAAGTCCCACTTACCTCGAGCGGCAACGAGTTGTTAATACAATATTACAGCGCGAAGGGATCTTACGACGGCCAAGAGTTCACTTACACGATATCGTACAGGTTCATAAAGAAGGCGCAAAATTCTACCAGCAGACGCCAAATACAGGACGATTTCAAGTTGATCTCTCTGAGGCCGGTAAACTTTTCAGCGTTGAATTTGAACGAGAGCGAGAATTGTAATTGCGATTTCGGCGACAGGATCGGCAGTTTTAAAAACTGGTTTATGGTGCTCGTTGTATTGGGGATAGTCTCGTTTCTTGGCGCCGTGCTCACGATAATAGCCCTCCTTGCCAAATGCATCAAAATGAGATCAATGGAGAAGAAACTATTACAGACCCCGAAACTGTGAAGAAAATTTTGTAACGATTTTCTAACATAATATATCTCTAAAGGGATAAAAATGATTTTTAATTTTTTTTTCTTTTTACAAATGATTAGATATTTGTTTAATTAGGATTCGGATTCATTCTTTTGTTTCAACACGCCATTTTGGAAAGTTTTGGAAAGAGTATGGTTTCAAGTTAAAGGATTTCTTTAATTGTTTCTCTAACGACTTTATTTCACTTTTATTTAAGCGATAATTCTGTGTCTGGGGCATTTCTAACAAAGTTAGATACTTTTGTAATATGAAGTAATTATTTTATAATTATTTTATGAAGTAAAAATGTTCTTTTCTTGTTAAAATTAAATTTATTTTCATATTTATTTTTTTTTTTTTTTTTAGATATTTTTCTTTTTTATTTGATGATATAAAGTTCAAGTTATTATTTTTTAATAATCTGATTTTGATTATTGGAAATTTTGCATTGAAAAAAAATATTAATTCTGTAATAATAAAAGTTAAATAAATGTACAATCAAAAAATAAGAAATATTTCATAGTATTATGTAATAAATTTTGGAAAATCAAAATTATAAAATAATTTTTAAATTTACGAAAAAATTTACGAAAAGAAAAGAATATTTGTAGCACAAAATAATATGTAACAATCAAATAATAACAATGAATTACATTTTTATTCTCGTTAACATTTCTTTAATCTCTATTATCATTCCTACGAAAAATTATAAAAGTACATGCATAATTTTATTTCGCAATATATACGCATTAGATA